GGGGCCCCCCCCAGCCTGGTCCCGAGAAGAGGGGGAGGGCTGGGGGGTATCGGGTGGCTGGCTCTAGCCGTGCCAGGTGCAGGGTCTGCTGGCTGCGTGCTGGTAGGCTTGCACCTGGCACAGGCACCGTAGCCAGCCCGTGCCCCTTTAAAGGGTCCGGGGCCGGGAGGAGGGCAATAGAGTTTCCCTAGTGTTGGCCAGAGTGGCCACCAGGGAAAGCTGGGGAGGGCTAGCCTCCCACTAGTTCAAATTAAGGGGCTAAACACCCCTTAATTCGAACTAGCTAGTTCGAACTAGGCTTAATCCTCGTAAAATGAGGTTTTCCTAGTTCGAACTAAGCGCTCCACTAGTTCGAATTAAGTTCGAAGTAGCGGAGCGCTAGTGTAGCGCCTATGAAAGTTAGTTCGAACTAACGTCCGTTAGTTCGAACTAACTCTGAAGTGTAGACATACCCTAGTAGATTACATACAATGACATATTTCAATTGATGAATATAAATTAATTTTGGGATAAGTAGGATAGCTCTGGAGACTAATAATGGACCCAACACAGATCCAAAAGAAAAAAAATAACAGAATTCCACTTGTTATTACCTACAGTCCACAGCTTAAACCCCTCCAACCCATTATCCACTATATACAACCTATCTTGGAAAATGATCCCTCACTCTCAGAGGCCTTGGGGAAAAAGGCCTGTTCTCGCTTACAGACAACCCCCCCACCTGAAACAAATTCTCTCCGGTAACCATGCTACACAGCTACATCATAAACATCCAGGAACCAAGCCCTGCAATCAGCCCCGATGCCAACTCTGCCCACATATCTATACAAGCAAATTCATTATTGGAGACAACCACATAAGCCACCAAATCAGAGGTTCATTCAACTGCACATCCAGGAATGTAATCTTATGCGACCAAATGCCAGCAATACCCTACTGCAGTATATATTGGACAAACTGGACAGTCCCTAAAGGAAAGAATTAATGGACACAAATCAGATATCCACAAAGGGAACATACAAAAACCTGTTGGGGAACACTTCAATCTACCTGGGCATTTATTAACAGATCTTTAAGTGGCTGTTTTGTTACAGACCAATTCCACAAGCCAAATACACAGGGAAGGACTGGAACTACAATTCATTCACAAGCTTGATACCCATGCTAATAGTTTAAATAAAGATACTGGATGGCTGTGACATTATCAACCTACCAAACAATGAAGGTACCAATGGTTCTTTGTCCGTATAGTATCTGGTGTTAGTACTCTTCCTCTCTAATTACCTACTAAGGGTTCTTTTCTGCCTCTTTTGACTATCCAGTCTTTAGGTGCTTATAGACTGTTTGTTTTTCCTGTTACATTCCAGCTCAGCTTTCCCCTTGATATTTTTATATCCACTGCCTCTTCTTGTTTTCGCCTCTGCCTTCTTCCCTATTTATTTTAGTTCTGGACATCCAACACTCTGGTCATCTGAAGAAGTGGGTTGTGACCACAAAAGTTCATGATCCCATCTACATGTTTTGTTAGTCTTTAAAGTGCTACCAGACTATTTGTTGTTTTTTCAGTTTATCCTGTACAGACTAACTCAGCTACCCCCTGAAGCTTAATCTTATTTGATTAGAGATGATAAAGTCATTCATCCTTCTGGAAAGCCAGACCCTTAAACTAAGCTGTTTAATTTTTTAACAATTCTCTCTCTCGCTCTGCAGTTCAGCAATTACCAACAGACGAGACCTATTGGGTCATTTTTCCCTGCCCATACCAATGTCTGATTCTCAAGTTCTGTCTAATTCTAAATGCAATTCTAAATACAGTAAATACTACAAGTCTAAATTCTAAAAAGGGACTTCATCACTTGTTTGGCCCGCTGTAAATAATTCTACTCAAGTCTTGATATTTACACCCTTCAAATGCTTGTTCTAATAAATTAGACTGAGGGCCTGAGCCTTGCATACCTTGCTTCGTGGATTAGCAGGCTACATTTATCTCCATTGTACCACTAATGCATTACTATCTCCTGATTTAAAAAAAAGAGGCCATACTGGAGATAGGGAAAGGTATCAAAGGCAAAGCATAGATACTTTGTACTCGTATGCTCCATAACTAGGGCTGTTGTTACAGTGACCATGTGGAATGGGATTGTGATGCTTTTCCTGCCTTCAATGCTTCCCCAGTGCTCTCCAATGGCCAGAAATATATGCACTGGCTTTTTCTCAGGATGCACTAGTTTCCCTATGAGATTAGTGTATTTGCCTAGCTATGTATACAGGTGCATTGCCAAAAATACAAAAATTACCTTTACACATCTTCCCATCAGACTGGAGTGTAAATCCGACGTTACCAAAAATACAAAAACTACCTTTACACGTCTTCCCATCAGACTGGAGTGTAAATCCAACAGGACAGCTGCAGTGAACTCCAGTGCGGTCACAGCCACCGTTATTTACAGCGCATGTTTCTAACAGAGAAAATAAAGCTAATGTTTGTACAGAAATGTTGTAAGGGAAATAAAGAAGATTGTGGCTCTAGCTGTGGCCCACTCCATTTCTATTCAGCCGTATTATATATTTAGAGAGGGAAGAAAATATCTGTGTTTCTTGTACCTTTTCCTGTCTAATTTATGTATATACCAGTTTTAGCAAGACACCTGGCTGGGGACCAGCAGCCACAACCTCTCCCCAAACTCCATCAAACTTACAGAGCCTTGAGGAAGCCTCACAGAACTTTTATTCTCCATATGCACCTTATCTCTGGAAAATTTCATCCAGAAACACAAATTAGGCTACCATTTCTAGGCTCTCTCTCTCTGCTCCAGACCAGTCTCCTGCCCAAAATAAACTCTTGGCCTGCATCTCCAACTTCTCCTCGTGAATGCCATCAGCTCAAACAGCAGATAAAGAATTCCTAATGCTGCTCCCCAAAGGTCTCTTCACTACTTTCTCAGTCACTGGGGGTATGTCTACACTACAAAGTTAGTTCGAACTAACGGAAGTTAGTTCGAACTAACTTTCATAAGCGCTACACTAGCGCTCCGTTAGTTCGAATTTAATTCGAACTAACGGAGCGCTTAGTTCGAACTCGGAAAACCTCATTTTACGAGGATTAAGCCTAGTTCGAACTAGCTAGTTCAAATTAAGGGGTGTGTAGCCCCTTAATTTGAACTAGTGGGAGGCTAGCCCTCCCCAGGTTTCCCTGGTGGCCACTCTGGACAACACCAGGGAAACTCTACTGCCCCCCTCCGGCCCCGGATCCCTTAAAGGGGCACGGGCTGGCTACGGTGCCCGTGCCAGGTGCAAGCCTGCCAGAACCCAGCCAGCAGACCCTGCACCTGGCATGGATCGAGCCACCCACCTGATGCCCCCCAGCCCTCCCCCTCTTCCCGGAACCAGGCTGGCAGCTCCCAGGAGCTTGCCCGGGACCGCAAGAGGCGGGCACCCGCCTGGGCTAGTGCAGAGATCGTGGACGAGGTACTAGGCACAGGAAAGTGGCCGTCTGGGCCAGGAGAGCTGCCAGCCTGGCCACCCAGGAGCAGGTGTGCAAGAGAATCAAGGGGGTCCACTGAGACCCCTGACCCTGAGCCCTGAGCTTACAATGGCCATCCTGGGGCAGACCAAAGGTCCATCTAGCCCAGTAGCCTGTCTGCCGACAGTGGCCAACCCTAGGAACCCTGGAGGGGATGGACC